CCAGAATATTTTTTTTCTATTCAAAATTTTAGTTCTAGGATTCAGTAAATACACCGCAAATCTAATTCCATTAAAAGTATCTAAACAAACCAACATCACAAATTCAAGTTCATATCAAACTAAGGTTATACAACACATACGGTATATGATAGCTTAAACATTTTGCAATCTAGAGTAGGTCAACAATAAATAAATATACAAAAGTGACATGTATTTGCTTGCTGATCTGTATTGTTGTCACCTCGTGATACTCTTCCGCCCATGAGTGAAGCAGACTCACTCTGCATATCACTATGCTGGAACTGTAAAATAAACCAATAATTAATTTATCAAACTAAACCAAACCACACCAAAGTCAAAATCTTTTGGAGCTAACTTCAAACAAAAGCAACAAAAAGTGCAAAAAAAATCTGGAATAAATTAAAAATATATACTACTAGCTTACCTCAATATCTCATTTCTAGAGGAACTAACAACTACAAATATGAAACAAATTTGGTTACTTGATATAATCTAGAAAAAGAAGTAAAAGAATTGAAAATTTAGGAGATGAGTTAAGAAACAAAACTTACCCCTCAGCAAGCACATCAATCCTTTAAACCAAATCTGCATAAATTTAACATCCAATCAAGTTAGCTTCAACAAAACTTTTTGTCTCTTGAACTACTTCATAGTAAGAGATCCTCTTAAAGGAAACACATGAACACCATAAATTTAAAAAGAGGTGAATCAAATAAAAAGGGTGAATCATATATGAATATCATTTCTAAACATACTTTTAAACCAAATATGAATACCATTCTAAGCATACCTATAAACCCAAAAAAAATAAAAATAAGAACTACTTAATTATTGCTACCTTCAGATAGGGCACATATTTAATAAAGTCAGAAACAACATTTCCCTTTACTACATCATCAATTAGATGGTATGTAACTAGTTGTACATACTCTGTCACATGGCCAAAAAGTGTTCAAGTTCTTGCTCTTGATATGTCTCATTGTAGTATATTTCTTCTTCCATCTCTTCTCACATATCATACAAATTAAATCTTTTGGCTATGGATGCACAACACATCATCTACATAATACACCTTTTGTGCTTGAGATGCTTCAATGTAAGGCTCAGGTTCTTCGCTCTCTATCTCTAGTAACCATATAGAAAATTATAGTTCACTGTCTTTTTTCAAAATAAATTAAGCATCAGTGGTATACTAATAATTAACCTACCCAAAAATCCCCAAGATTAAAGTTCACTGTAAGACCTTAGCAAGTAAAAGAGATACTAAGGACCATGTAGTTTCTTGAGATTTTCCAATGTAGATGTTAGAGATAACATTAGCAAATACCCTGTCTGAAGAATTCCGATGTGCTCTCGCACAATTATTAATATATGGGTCTCTTCAAGCAATTTTAACATCACACAACATAATTAAATTATGGTTGGAATTTGAAAAAACTTTACGTTAAGTGAAAAACTCTTTACAGAAACACTGGGTAATCTGTAACCAAAATTAAAAGATCTAATAGCGGAGGTACCGTTTGTTTAAAGTATTCATATATTTTGAAGCATATATATTTAACAAGATTTACTCAATCATATTCTTCAAGAAGGACTATTCCAAGGCAGATTGTCCATAAAGGTTTTATTACTGGTTCAAGCAATAAACTACAACTGAAAATCACAAATTCCATGGCTACTGAGATAAAGAAAACAAATTGAGTTAAGAGAAAAGAAAAAAACCACCTTAATACGAGTAGCGGCATTCTAAAGTTAATTTGCCCAAAAGGATACTTTCCTTCAAAAAAAATCATGTCATCCTTCAAGCCTGAAAATAATTGAATAAAAAACCATTAAACTGAAACATTGGGGCAACGGAAAATACGTAATCCCTGATCTTAAAAGTCAGTGTAGGAGCCATAAATTGAGAAGAATAATAATACTTAAACGTAATTATACTAGATCAAAATTGAAGCAGATAAAGAAAGAACGCACCTGAAGCAATTGAAGCGAAGGGAATTCACAGGGAAGAAGGCAGTTCAGCCAAATTGTTGAAAGAGAAAACCTTGAGGCATAGTGGAATTAAAAGAGGGAAAGATTTGGGAAATTTTTTGAAATGGGAGGGAGAAATTACCGCGTCTGTTTTTGGAGCAAACAAGAATGAAAATTTTAAGCAACCAAACCAAACTAGTTAAGAAAAATAATTTTTTTTTAATAACAAAAATAATTTTGGCATCAATAAAATTGCTAAAATCTCTATATTAGATAAATGCAATAATATTTTAATTGGTATGATGAAAATAACGAAAATCCAAGTACTTAGCTTTGTTAGTATTATTTATATCCTTTCAAAATTTAAATTATCTAAAATAAAATGATAAAACAAAAATTATGTGTATATAATTATAAAACTTAAATATCTTCCAGGTAAATATCGCGCGCGCCTGACGTATGGTCGTTACCTCACACCTTAAACATATAAACATCCATCAATAAGATCTTTATTGCTTATATTTATATATATTTTTGTCTCATTTTACTATTTAGCTACTACTGCTCTATTCTTTCTAATTGTAAAATTTTGTCACAATCTCAATTTTTCTCCGTAGGATGTCGTGATGGCACCTAGTCTCAAGAATTTTTACAAAAAAAACCTCACAATAAAAATAATTTTGTGAAGGTTGGAACAAAAATGCCACAAATAGAATATATAATGGGGGTCTTCTACAACCCTCACAAATAAGCTGCCACAAAAAGAATTATTTTGTGGGGATTGACACAAACGCCACAAAATAAATGTATAGTGGGGGTTTTGTATAACCCCTATAAATAAACCGCCGCAATTTAACAGATATTTTGTAGTAGGATCCTTGGCCAAAGAGAAGTGTCAAGTCATCTTGCCCATTCCCTCTTTTANCAACTTATTCATTGACCGGTAGATTTAACTTATTCATTTGATATCTTCTTCAATAAAAAATTGATACGTATTCTCCGATCATTTAGTCATGAAAGGGAAGTGCATGGACTTCTATAAATTCAATTTTGTGAGTTAGCCCTATCCTTCTCAATTGTTGGAAGACCAATCTCATAGCTAATTTTCTCGTTAATATCCATGGCAAGGATATGAAGCAAATTCATAGAAATTTATGCATACAATATACCGTCTTTTCAGTTTCCCACTATCATCATACATAATACACAATAAATTTATTGATGTTTAAGGTAGTTTAATTGTGAAAGATGTGGAAGAAACGTTAGAAGCTCACAAATGTTATTCACAATTGATACGTTATAAACTAATAATAGCACTCTCTTTATATCCATAACTGAAATCTCCTCATAACCTGAAACCTCATCTCTTTTTCTTATTTCACTGTCATTTTTTATTTTATTAATAAATAAATAAGTAAGAGGGAAATAATCCAAAAAAAAGGAGATAAAAGATAAATATGAATGGAGGCCATAGAGAGGTGCCACATCACCTTATCTATGCCTAGCTTTATGTTATATATAGATAGATTGGGGTTGATCAACTAAGTGTTATAATACCTTTAGTTTGCCATTCCTGATGCCATATATGCAAATGGGTTAAATTTAACATACTCATCCAATTGGGGCGAAACATCGAGGAAAAGAAGAAGAAACGATTTTTTCAAAATTAACTTATCTCTGAATGTCAGATGAAAACTTCATAATATCATTTATAATATAGATATATAGGTATTGCAAGAATAAAACCGTAACTTAGGAGTATAAAAGCTTATTCACAAAAGATAATTAATTCTATTGTCTTGTATTTTTTTACTAATTGAATTCTTTAAACAAGATGCTTACAAAATTAATTAACAAAAGGATATTTGATAAGGGCAAACTAGTCGTATTATAATATTTTATATTGATAAATAGATTAAAAAAATTGTTTAAAAAAAGGAAGTAAGTGTAATGTCGTAAACCACAAAGGAGTTTAGCGTGATAAAGCAAATTCTAAGGGGTCCTTGAATAATTAATTTCTTATATTACACAATATGTATTTCGCTTTAACTTGTTATTTAATCATGATAACTAACAAGGCGTGATGCGTGCATTGATTTTTATTTTTTACAGTAATACTGATGTTATCTAATTTGCATTAAAAGGAGTATATAATATGTTCTATTTGTCACGATCCGGAATTTTCATCCTCGGGACGGTGATGCCGCCTAACATTTCACTTGCTAGGCAATCCAACGTTAGATGTAGTTATTAACCATTTTTAATAATTCAAATCAAATAAAAATCAATAAGCTAAATAAAACTGAAGTAAAGTAGATAAATCTGATGAACGGATATCCAAATACAAATCCTAAAATTGGTGTCACGAATACAGTTCCAACCGGTGATAATAACCCGCCAAGCCCAGGAAACTCCAGATCTCTGTAGCTGAAGTGGGTCTAGGCCAGTTTTGAAATTTAAATGAACAATACAAGTATACCTTGTCAAATTCATTAATTTTAAATGAGTTTGTGTGAGTATGAATATTATTTTAAGAGTTAAGCACAAAATATCTATTCAAATTATTGGGTCAATTTAAAAAATATTATGTGTTAGCAAAATAAAAAATTAGCATAGTGTTGTTAAATTATATAAAGAGAAAAAGACAAAATTATTGCATTACACAATGAATCATTAGGTAGAAACTTACTTTTGTATATAGCAACAAATTAAAGAGAAGGTAAATGAAAAGACAAATTTGAATTGTTGGATGAGTTAAGCGAGTTGAGCTACAACTTATAGTTCACTAATGTAAATCCACATAAAATTTGAATTAGGACTTATTATTATTTTTTCCTTTTCTGGGTAGGACCTAATTTTTGACATATCAAATTTTAATTCACCAAAATTAACCCTGCCGATTCCTACGACACTATTGCTCAACAAAACCCTGATTCAGGTTCACACGGTGTTTACCCGACACACCCGAAGCCTATAAAATCAATTCATTCCCCCAAACTTGTAGAACCTCTTTTGCCGCATCACTCCTCTCTACTCCCCCAACCCCACCTCCCTTTTTTTTTTTTAAAAAAAACTCTATAAATAAATTCATCATCCGGCGGAGCTTTGATAACTGATCGTCCTGTAATCATTCACCTTCTCCCCTTCTCTCTCTCCCTTCTCTCTCTCTACATCGCAATCGATTCTTACTTGTGTAATTCTGTGTGTGGATCCAATCGAGACATGGTGGAAACGAGACGAAGCTCCTCTTCCTCCAAACGCCCTCTCTCTTCTCCCTCATCATCTCCTCTCCCTAATGGCAAACGCTCCAAGGTTCGTTTTGTTTTGAATTTTGATCTGATTGATGATATCTGTTTTTGTACATACATGTTTGCATGTATCTGGAAAAAGGAAAAAAATAGTCTTTTTTTTTTTAAATTTATTTGACCGGTTTTATAGGCGGCGGAGGCGCTATCATCAACTAATGATACCCTAGGGGAAAAAACACAGGGTGCGGTGAATGAATCTGCTGAGCAAGAGGTTCGATCGGCTGATCTGGCTGCTACTGCTACTGTTTTGAAGTCGTCTGATGCTTCTCTGCCACTGAAATCGCCGGAAAATCAAGTGGAAGGCGAGCCTTTGGTGTCACCCATGACTCTAGGTGCCATTTTATCTTTGCATGACTTTATCATAATTCGGATCTTTTTTTTTGTTTGGTTAATAATTGGGGACTTTTTTTCTAGGTCATTCTGTGATTGACGCTGCGGAGAAGGCGAAGTTAAATGGGTCTAAGGCGAAGAAACGGCAGCTGAAATCTAATGTTGTTGGGGCTGCATGGGCACAACTTATTTCCCAGTGCTCTCAAGTAGGTTCCTCCTTGATCTTAATCTTTGAAAATTTGGAAAATATGTAACTTTTGATCAAAATTTGATTCCAAAAATTGAACTCTGCTTGCATTGGAGGCAAAAGAAATTAAATAGTCCGTGCAGGAAGTAAGGAAGATACTGACCATGAAAGTGGAAGAATAAAGCTTGAAACATTTAAACTTGCATACAATTCTCACCTTCCACTTGTGAATTTGAGTTAATTTCCTCCATTTAAAATTGGATGCTTTAGTTTTTTATTGAAGGTATGTTATGTTTAGTGTTTAATAAAGGGAATACAATTATTAGCATGTTAAGATTCTGTTTTCTTAAGATTGAAACATGGAAAATTTATATCCAACATCGGTTGCATGTAACTTAGGAGTGTAAAAAGCAACCAAACTGAAAACTGTGATTTATTTCGTTCGATTTTCGAACAGCTCTTTGTTTCCATGAATTTAGAGCAGAGTAATGGCTCAATCACGGTCTGGAGATAAAAGGGACAGTACCGGAGGAGTAAGTTTATTGATGTTATTCCTTGCATCCGGTGATAAAATTCCGAGAATTCATCCCGTCTGCCTCAGTGATACAACATATGCAATACTTAATAACACCTATAGTCCAGGAGAAACACTCGAACCAAACACTAACTTGTTGAAATCAGCCACCTGACTAAACGGTGTCCTTGAAGGCAATTCATCAAACGGA